TTTTCGTATGGCTTCTTCATTCTTCTTGAAACTCCAGCTATCCTTTTTTAAGTACCCTTTCTTACTACAGTAATAACACTTGCATTCGTCTTACTCCTGGATTTTGACCTACTCTGATTATGACTCCCACTGAAGCTACGTTCCGTTGATCTCCCTTTCATCATCGTCAAAGCTTCCACCTGATGTAAACTTGTCAATCTGTCCTCCTTATTCTTGCTCCGACTTTACTCTTCAAGAACCACAGTTGCAACATCATTGAAGACTAGACTTTCAAGGTTGTTAGTTAAATTGATGATAAGTTGATCATACGACTGGTAGACTTTGAAGTAAGATCTCAACACGTTCACCCACCTCTATATTATGCCCCATTGATGTGAGCTGTGAAAATATAGTGTTGAGAGTGTTGATGTGGTTGGTTACTGTAGTGGACTCGATCGGAAGGGTGTAAATCTTTCTCTTCAAGAAGATTTTGTCGTGTAATGATTTGGCCTCATACAACTTTATCAACGTATCACATATCTCTTTAGACGTCTTCTTCTTCGTCACACATGACAATACTCCATCGATTAGTGCTAAGTGCAGTAATCGTTAACGTAACGGTTCCATCTCATTCCACTTTCCATCGTCAGTTATCTCTGCAGGCATTTGTCCAATTGCCGCCAAGCAGTTAGGGGTTATTCTCTTTGTGTTTCAGTTTTGTGTTTTGAGTGTCCATTTTGAGATTGTTGAAAATGTGTTCTTTTTGGCATTTTGAAGAATTGTTTTCAAAAATAAAAAAAATGGAAAACACTCCAAACACGTTTTGAAAATTTTAACTTTATAACTAAAAACACCAAAAAGGGCATATTTGTCGTTTTGAGTTTTCTTTATAAATTTTTAACTTATTTTTAAAAACGCATTTTCACTGTTTTGGAAAATCGAAAACAGAAAACGGTTTGAAAATGGTAAAAGAGAACAGACCCTTATATTTTCTCAAAACTACTTTTATTTTCATTATTTATAATGAGAAATTGTTCCCATTGAACTTTTCAATCTAATACTTTGCCGCCATTTTGTTCACCAATACTATAACNGGTCAAGTTTGGCTTGCAACGAAAATGGAATTGAGAAAATACAGTTAAAAATGGACACAAATATTCATGTGGTTCACCCAATTTAGGCTACATTCAAGGGCAAGTATTGGTAGGGGTAGGCAAAACCCGACCGAACCCTCCAAAACCGCTCAAACCGAACCAACCCGACCGGTTTGGGTTTTTTTTTACATGGGTTGGGTGAATTGGTTGTGTAGGCGGGTTGGATTGGGTCGGGGTTATGGTTTAACTCATAAAAATCGAATAAACTCGCCTAACCCAACCCGACTATATTTATAAACTTTACAAGTGGTATGATGTTGCTTGGAAACTCTTAAAATAATATTATAAGACTTGGATAGAATGAATTTTACGAAAAATAGTATAAGCAAATACACATTTAACAAAAAAACATTTTAACTGCCATTCTTGACTTCATATAATTTAATATCAATCTATCCATGTAACATTTCCGAACATGAAGCGCCAAAATAATTCAGATTTTTTTGTTCATTGCAACTATGGAGACCAAATATTATATAAGTTATGAGTCAATTATAAATCCGTCAAACCCGACCCTCCTACTTTAGTCTTTGTTAATAAGTTGTCCCAACCCGACCGATACTTGATTGGATTGGGTTGTGTTTCAACCTTTACACGGGTTTGGTTGGATTAAATTATGATCAAACCGAACATATTAAGTTGAATTTGGGTTGATGCAAAACCTGACCCAACCCAACCCAACCCATGCTCACCCCTAAGTATAGGACGATTTCAATATAGTAGAAGAATTACAATAACACTTTCTAAATACAAGGAGAAAACAACAATTAATATCTCTTGTAATAGGAGAAACTAAGTAGGAAACACTCAAGAGAAAATAATCTCTCTATAATTTTATGTCTCTCTACTACTTTTTCTCTCTACTGATAGTATCACTCAAAAGACTACAAATTCTCTAAGGGTCCGTTTGATTGCAAGGGTAGAAAATGGGTTGAAAGAAAATGAATTTCAAGGAAAGTAATGGCCTAGAAATTATTTTCCAGGGAATTAATAATTAAGTGTGTTTTATTGGTATAATTTTCCACCCAAAAAATTTTTAAATTTTGTATTTATTTGACTTTATTTTACATGAAAATTGTCCATGAAAGTGATAATTTTTTCCACAATTGGTTATAAAATTTGTTTCCATTGCCAAAAAGTAAAAAGAAACGAAATTTTTTCCTAAAAAATCATTTTTTTATCAAAGTTTAGTATTCGTTTGACTTTGTTTTACATGGAAATTGTCAATTAAAGTGAATTTTTTTTTTTTATAATTGATTATGAAATTTGTTTCCATCACAAAAAATAAAAAAATAAAAAACAGCAACATTGAATGCATTTTCCCACCAAAAAGGTGGGAAAACCAATTCCACCAAATTATGGAATTGGCACATGTGTGAAGGAATTGTGGAAAAAGTTTTCTAGGAAAAATTTGTACCATCAAACATGCCAAAAAATGGAAAATGAAATTTATCAAACACACCCTAAGAACGAAATTTCACTCGAGAATGGGATACATTTCTCTGCAACAATCATCCCCTATTTATAGGCTAATTCTCTCCGCATACATTAATTGAAACGTAGAAATTCGAATGTGAATAGCACACAAAGAAATTATTGCCTTCTAACTTTTACCAATCTTCCACACATTCTCAATAGCTTTTACCAATCTTCCACGCATTCTCAATAAGTAGCTTTGAAATGATTTTCTTCACATTAAATGCTATCTTGACATTGTGGATGGTTGGTCAAATAAAGTGGCTTTATCCCAACACAAACAAGATAGACACACAACATAGATAGGTAACTCTCCATGTAAATTCTCAAAGTTTTTTCTATCTTTCTGATGGCATAACAATGAAAAATATGTTCAACGACTTCCTTTGATATGGGTCAACGCGTTTTTATTGAATGGATTCTTCGGAGGGAAAAGTTATATGCTTTGACATTCAATTTCTGGTGGAGAAAGGCCCAATCATCTGATGATTTTTAAAGAGAGAATGTTGTAGGGAAAACCAATTAATTGATCTTTGAAAATTATTTACAAACGCAATGCAAAGTTACATATCTTCCAACGAAGAGAAGTTACTAGGTGTTGTTAACACCATAGGCGATGATGTTATGACCAAAGAAAATATAAAATATTTATCTTCTTCCTGGCTTGTTGGGTACATAACTAAAATTAGGTGACCTAAGAGCCCCCACCCGACTAAACATTCCAAAAGTCACCAGATTCATTTGAGCTACTAAGGAATAAGCTATTATTTTCTTAAGTTCAACCTATCTTAAAAGTGGTTAAGGAGGCATATATTATGGCAATCGCGCTTGGAAAGAGAATGGATCATTAGCCATTCTCACAAAGTCATACAACTTTCATAACATCAAAGTATGTTCGATAAAAAGAATGCATGGTACGATGCCGGAGACTAGAGAATGAGTTGAGTGAACTCCCAAGACGAAGCTTTACATAGATATGGCTTTGATTGCAATCGATTTTTTTTTCGTGATTGGAAAGGGGGTGACTGGAAATGTTAGACTGGCCACGGAAGGAAGAGGATGGTTATAAAATGCCCAGGAGGGAAACATAGAAGTAAAAGATGAGACTAAAATGTCAGGGTTAATTTAGTTAGTTACACCACAGAGATACTTTCCGAGGAGGTAATTCCATAATGTATAACTACCAGGATATAAAAACAGGACAACCAGAAAATAAATAAATAAATCAGAAGACAGTGAAGGAAAATACAAGAAAAAAACTTGCCAATTAAATAATGAAATCAGGCGGTGGAAGCATCAATAAGTTGTAAATACGAAATGTACAACACACGAAGTTAGCAACATATAGACCAAACTAGATGAAAATCAGCTAAAAAGAATGTCCAAGGCCTTTTGGTTTTCATGTCAGTGTCGGTACGGTAAGTCTCAAGTTCAAGCACTATACTAAAATTCTAGTTTGATATGACTTATGAGGGTATCAAAGTTACCATTCTTATTCTGTCAGGAATCACTCAGCTCAATCTTCTCCTCCTAGATTCACGGGAATCCTGATTGTCTGCATTTGAAACCCTAGACAAAACTCTTCTTCTACGGGTAGTTGAAGAAGAAGGTACGGTTGGCAAATTGATTTCACTAGAAGCCGTCGTTGCCAGGATATGTACAACAGTACTTGGACCATCCCTTGTTTGGGAAGAGGAAATAGCTGCACTTGAATCTAGAGCCTGATGATCTGATTGTATGACAGCAGAATCACTAGCAAGAGGATTATTTCCAATATCAACTGATGAACCCCGGGTGTCACTCAACCGGTTGTTTAGAACTGTTCCAAGGTCATCAACTAACCTTTCAGCATTAGCAGCACTTTCGGATAATAATCTTGAAACCTGCCTGCTCCTAGGGAGGCGGCGGAGCCGGCGGTGGTGGCCTGCTGCCTCTCCAGTTTGCACCTCTGGAACATCAGGCTCAAACCTTAAATTACGACTCCCACCCTCAGTTTGATCCTCCATTGCACCAATACTAATCCTAATCCGCCTCAATGCTTCTGCAACTGGAACATGAGATAAAACATTTGTCACTTGCTGCTGCCTCGCACTCTCAACTCTCCGAGCTTTGGGCCTCGGAGGTATTTTCAAGCCGGATTCCAACTCAGCCACACGTTCACTCTCCCCATTCCCGTAAATAGGAATAACAGTGCTATCAGATACCTCTCCCTTGCAAACTGGACATTCCTTGGAAGTCGAATCAATATACGACGCTTGATAAAAGCACGCCCAACAAAACAAGTGACCACAGCAAGTCAGGACAGGTTCCCTCGCCACCTCCAAGCATATATTACAATCGTAAAAGCTCCCTCCTTCCTTATCAACCTTCTTAACATCGGAATCCATCTCCAAAGCCTTTGCGACCAAATGGGAACTACCCCTTTTACAACCTCTTCCCCTCTCAGCACCCAGAGCACCTCTCTCACCATCCACATTAACCACATGATCACCTGAAAAATCACTTATATCCACAGAATTACGCAATTGGCGCCACCTCCGGCGCTGCCTAGTACGAGTAGTGACAGCTTGAAGCTGTCGAATCCTTTCCTCTATCCTACCATGGGTAGTTTCCAACTCATTCAACAAAGATCTAAATCTCGCATCTGAATTCACAGGTGGGTCCAAGGGTTCTTGGTTCAAATCAAGATCCGCCAAATTATCATCCATCAAATTGTTATCATCCATCACATGAACAACACCTCAAGGTTCGCAAAACCTTCAATATATCACACAAATAACTCAAAAAACCAAAAATTGGGTGTTAGAATTGAATAAAAAAATTAAACAAATTATGATCTTCAGAAACCAATTGAATCTTGAAATAATCAAGGCAGCGATCTAGAAACAGAGAACTGGAAAAAAAAATCTAATCTTTATGCGGGAAAATCTGTGAATGTAGAAAAGCAAAGAATTTTACACTTCCACGTAAAAGGAAATCGGGATACAAGATTTTGAAGCTGCATAAATCTACGGATTTTATTAGGAAATACAGCGCTGCTCTTTTTTTATTTTTCTCTTTCAGTAACCTAATTATTTTAGGAGCAGGATAATAATTTGGGCCATGGTTCGGCGAAAATTTGGGCCACCTCCTATGAGTGGGTGGTTCGAGGGTCATGGCGCAAATTTGGGCCAGCAGATCCATAGAAGAGGCACCTAACCTCAGTTTACACTTGGGGAAAAAAAGAAGTGAAAATTACACAAAACAAGAGTTTTCAAAATTCAATTTCAAATTTCAGATATTAGGTTTCACTTTTTAAAAATCAGATATTTCCCAAGCTCTCTTTCCACCCCCAATCCATTCTCTCTTCCTCTCCCGTCTCTTTATATTCTCCCCCTCCAAAAATTGCTCGCCACGCCTTCACATGCCGTTGTCCACAACCACTTCGCCGCCACCATGCCCACCGAAATGCGATGATCGTCGGAGATACTGCTAGAGATCACAGCGCGATGCTCAAGACGCCCCACCGCAGTGGCATCGCTTTGAAGCATCCGGTGTCCGCAGCGTCGTCACTTCGAAACAAACATCACCACCACAGATTTGTTAAGAAGAGGCCGACGACGAGTATGTTATAAGCAGCGATGAGCGTCGCTGCTTCATGGTGGTCGTTGATCTCTGTGTCTGACATAAAATGGTGTGAATCTACGGTGGTGCAGTGGTGTTTGCGGTGATGATGTTAGTGGTGGTGGTGTGGTGGGTGGAGGTGGGGTGCAGCGGCGATGGTTTTGAGCTTTTGGGTTGGTTTCTTCCTTCGATTTGCTACTTTGGAGCTTTAGCGGTGCTCACCGATATTTTTTTTTTTTTTTGTGGTTTTTGAAACAAACATCACCACCACAGATTTGTTAAGAAGAGGCCGACGACGAGTCTGTTATAAGCAGCGATGAGCGTCGCTGCTTTATGGTGGTCTTTGATCTCTGTGTCTGACATAAAATGGTGTGAATCTAAGGTGGTGCAGTGGTGTTTGCGGTGATGATGTTAGTGGTGGTGGTGTGGTGGGTGGAGGTGGGGTGGAGCGGCGATGGTTTTGAGCTTTTGGGTTGGTTTCTTCCTTTGATTTGCTACTTTGGAGCTTTAGCGGTGCTCACCGATATTTTTTTTTTTTTTTGTGGTTTTGAATGGTAGTGGTGCCGACCTGTGGTGGATCGGGCTGTGGCGACGACAGTTAAGGTGGCGGTGGTGGGGCTCTAGGGACCTTGGCAGGGGACATCCTTTGGCTTGCTACTGGCGCTGCGGTGATGTCGGTGCGATGGTGGGTTACAGTGGTGGTACAAGTCGTGATGGTGTTGCTACAGGTGGTGGGGGATTTGGTAGTGGTTTGGTGTTTGGATAGTGGTGGTGGTGGTAGGTAGTGGTGTTGGTGGTGATGTTGGCTATGGTATTCGAGACGATGGTTTTGTTGTCGGGAGGTGATGTTAGTAGTTCTGGCGACGGTGGTTTGGGCTGTTGCAACGGTGTGGTGGTAGTCCCAAGCATTGGTGATGATGACAAATGATTTGGTTAATTGTAACCAATAAATATGGTGTGACTTAAAAATTTATTAATTCGTGACCAATAATTTGATAAATTGTGACCCAAATATAATTTTTGATCAATTAATTTGATGTTTTGTGGCCATTAAATAGTATGTGATTATTAATTTGATAGATTTGTGATCGATGAATAAATTGTGACGTATAAATTTTTGATTTGTGACTGATGAACAAATTGTGACCTATAAAATTTTTGAATTGTGCCCGTAAAATAACTTGTGACATATGAAAATTGTTATTTGTGACCACTTAATAATATGTGACTAATTATATGAAATTTGTGGCCAAATTATATGAAATTGTGACCTTAATATATTTAATTAATTAATTTATGAATAAAATTTAAAAAACTCTGAGATTTGAAATTTTAAACATAGCCCTTGTTTGACAATCATTTTTTATCTCAATCTCATTCTCATTTTTCTACAGTACTCATTTCTAACCACACATTCTTCAAATAAAATAATATTACATATAAACCCAAAAATTCTTCTTACTTTTTAACCACACATTCTTTACATCAATCACTATTCAAAAACTCTAAGAAAGAAGGGAGAAAAAGTGTGCATGTTGGACCAAGAAGAGGGAAGAAAGAAGAAGAGAAAGTGTGCCTGCAAGAAACTCCCTGGACCAAGAAGAGAAGAAGAAAAAGTGTCCCTGCAGGAAATAGACCAATAAGAGAAGAATGAGAAGAAGGAAGAAAAAAAAAGTGTGAGCTGGGAAAGTGTGCTGCAAAAAAAAGAGTGAAATTATTAGAAAGAGTGATGACTTTCCTATTATTAAGGTATTAAATTGATAAGTGATAAGTCGATACTGATAAATTGGTGATAATTTTTATGATAATAATTCATCACTCCTAACAAAAAAAATTAGAATAATCAACTATTAATTGTATTAATTATCTTAAATCAATTTATTTTATGAGTTGGGCAGCCAATTGTAGCAAGAGAGAGACTTGAGGGGATGGATTGACAAAAAAAACTTGTTAAATTTGATACCTGCGGAGATGTGACGGGGAATTACTCGTCTAATCGGGTAAACGAGACGAATGCCGTTGCCTTGAAACAAGTACGGAATACGGAAAACATGAACTATTTCTGTTCAGGACTCTGCATCGAATACGTGAAGTTCATTTTGTTCATAGACTAATTTTGACAAGAAAATCTCCGCAACTGATATCTAAAATTGTGTCCGCACTGGACAAATTCTCTGGCTCCGCCCCTGCACTTGATACCATATTTAGTCCCTGTTTGAGCCACATTAAAATTTTTATTCTTATTCTTCTACTCATTTTCAACTATACATTTTTCAATGAAATAATATATTTCATCATATCAATAAATTTTCCTTCTTTTTCAACCATATTTTTTCAATCAATTTATTATTTCAAAATACATTCTTCCAAAATAATGTGATTCAAACACACCCTTAATAACTTATTTTGTCTTGCATCTAACAGCCTAGATGATCGTTCGCGTATCAGGTTTTTGATTAAAAATATTAATTTATGAATTTACATGTTGAGTGAAGAGATTAAAATAAATAAAATTATTTTAGGTTTAGAAATTTAAACTTGTAAATAAAATAATTAATTAAACAACACTTTTTTGAAGCACGTTGCGACCCTTTTTGTATAACTTCTATGCAAGTAGTATGTCGTATAATTTATCATATATTTGAGGATGTTACGTTGGACTAGACATAATATGTGAGCAGGGGCGAATCTAGAGTTCGAGTTCAGCTAGGGCGGATCGTCTTCTGCAAAAATGGATCTTAATCCTGAGCTCAGGGGCGAATCTAGGGGTCGAGTTCAGCTAGGGCGGATCGCCAGCGTTTATTATCAACAGTCAACGTCCGTGATAGAGGGGTCGTTTATTAATATTTAATTAAATAATATACAAAAAATTGTACGGACTAGAAGATGCACCATTAGAACTAGAACTAGGTACGAACGTTCATTTCGGATTAAAAAAAATAAAATCGTTCCATAATATGCAAAATGCCCTAATTTATTTTTCAATTAAACAGGCAATATATATTAACAAAATGCCAATATTCAGTTGCAATTAAAGTTAATTAAACAATGAATTAAAAGGATAAAAACAAAAAAAGAGAGAGAGAGAGAGAGAAGCACTCACAGTCTACCAGAGAGGCTTCAATTACTGAAACCAGTTTCCGTCAAGTCCAATTATTCTCAGCATCAACAGCCATGCTACCAGACTACCAGTCCTCATTAGCTCCCTATGGGGCCAACATACAATTGCCACTTCATCAAGAGTCAAGACTATATTACCACACAACAAACTTTTCAAAATCATTCCCTAATCACAACAACATAATGAATTAGTAAATGAACAAGTCTACAGATAACAAAACTTCGCCAAACATTAATTCCCTGCAGTAAATACAACTCTGACAACTTAAAGACACTAGCACATGGGCATCAATACAGAAATCAGCATAAATAAACAAACGGAAACTATGTTTGAGCATATCAGATGAAAAAGGAGAACCTCAACAAAAATTATGAAATCAAATACTATAATCACACAGCGTCCACCACCGGTCTCGTCGATCGGCGTCACAAACTCCCCCTCACCTCACTAAGTCACTCACAGACCGCAGGTCCGCACATGGGCGTATTCTGCTCGTCACGCCTCACTCGTCTCCCCTGCCGGTTTCAATTTTGCAATTGGTTTTGGTGGATAATGGATTTGCAATTTCCAATTGCAAGCAACACTCCATGGTCCAGTGACTTCTCCAGTCCAGATGCCATGGATTGAGCCTTATTTCTTTAAAAAAAAAAGGCCCAAACAATGGAAAATAAACAAAAAAAAAAAAATTAGAGATTCTCAGTCATCTTCTTCACTTCCCGGCGGATCCAGCAGTCATCTTCTTCACTCCAGCGGACGGCGGCTACTACTGAAACTCCTGGCGGATCCAGCACGGGCGGCCGCGGGGGCTAGCCAGGTGCTGGATCCGCCCCTGATTGCGGAGGACAAATTTCGGATGCTTATGGAGGTTCTGGGACCAACATAGAAGCTTTTGAAAATTGCGAAGTGGACTAAATCGAACAAATACTTGAAAGGTGACCAAATCGCAAGGAATCAGAAAGTTCAAGGTGGACAGTGTCAACCATGGTTCAGCATTGAACTTTG